GCTGGGAGCTCCAGGGATATCAACTGAACACAGCATAACAATTACAATAAGACTAGGCACACACTCTCATATCAGGGCTGGGTGAGGCAACCCAGCAGGAGGAAAAGGGTCCCGTGAGCGGGCAAAAGAGTCAGAGACACTTCTCTCCCACTGTTAGGAGTCCCACAAAGACACCAAGCTAACAACCATAACGTATTTGCAGAGGACCTAATGCTGACCCATGCAAGCTCTGTTGTTGCCGCCTCAGTTAGAGTAACAGTCTTAAGGCTCACCCATGCTGGAACATTTATCAGTGTGTCATTCTTTTTGATTGCTGAGTAAATTAATATTTCATATAAATACAGCAAATTCTGTCTACAGATCTTTTGAATTGTTTCAAGTGAATAATACTGCTCTGCGTTTTCGTATTTTTATTTTTCCTGGGTCAGATAGTAAAAATTTCAAAGTGGCTATACTATTTTAAATTCTTGTTAGCCATCTATGAGAGCCCTAGTCTCCATATCTGCTGTTGACTGTGGTTTAGTTTTTTTGTAGCTGTCATTGAAAAAACACATTTTTGAGACTGGGTCTCACTATTTACCCAGGCTACTCTGAACACTTGGATTTATAAGTATATGTCACTATACCTGTTTTTGTCTGTGTTTTTATTTTCAATTTTAAAAAATTTATGGATATGAGTGTTTTGTGTGTGTGTGTATATATATATACACATATATATGTGTGTATATGTATATGTATATGTATATGTATATGTATATGTATATGTACTGCCTGTGTGCCTGGTGCCCATGTAAGTCAGAAGAGGGCATTAGGTCCCCTGAAACTGAAATTACAGATGGTTGTGAGCCAACATGTGAGTGCTGGGAACCAAATCCAGATCCTCTGCCAGAGCAGCCAGTGCTCTTAATCACTGAGCCATTCTCCAGCCTGTGTCTGTGTTTTAAAATCACAAATATCCTAGTAGGAACGAGGGAATAGCTCACTGAAGCTTTGATGTACATTTGATCTACATTCAATGGTACCAAACAGCTTTCCATGTGCCTATTGGCTGTGTGTGTGTGTGTGTGTGTGTGTGTGTGTGTGTGTGTGTGTGTGTGTGTTTTACTGGGAATCAAACTCAGGGTTTCCAGCATGCTAAGCAGAAATTCTGCCACTGAGCCCCACTTCTATTTTAAATTATTGAATCAATAGTTCTTTACATATTTCGGATGCAAGTTCTTTACCAGACATAATTTCTAAATATTTTCTTTCAGTCTGTTTTACCTTTTTATTTATTATCTTTTTACCTTTTAAATGGTAGTGTTTGAAGCACAACAATATTAAATTTTGATGAAGCCCAATTATCAATTATTGTATTCTGTTTTTAAAATGTCATAGCTAAGAAGTTTTATCCCAGTTCAGTTTTAGCTACTTTTAAAGACACATTTCAAAACTGCCCCTCTTGCTAGTGTGTTATGGACATATCTCTGCATCATTATGTACAGATCTGTGACATCTCTTTTGGGCTTTGGTATTCTGGGAAAGAAAGGAGACAAGAAGGCCAGGATTTTCAAAATATTAGTAAGAGCTTGACCTGTGGGATTACTGTACAGGCCTATAATCTCTGCTTTGGGAAGGCTGAGGCAGGAGCATCAAAAATTCAAGGCTTTCTTGGGCTGCAGAGAGAGTTCAAGGTCAGCCTGGGCATTGTACTGAGACTGTTTTAAAATTTTTTTTAAATATGAGAAAGGGCTGAGGAGGCAGTGCAATGGTAGTGCACTTGTCTGACGAACAGTTTTTTTAATGCACAAATAAATAGATCAAGTAGGACTGTTGATTCTTGAGGCCTATTTTCTTTTCTGCACTGGGAGTTGAGCCCATATTAGGAAAGCATCCTCCTACTGAGGTATAGTTAGAGCCTCTCCTGTCTGTGGCTCTTAGTCATTAGTTTCCTCACAACCTTCTAGGTGTCAAGGCCCAGGATGTGTTCCTGTTCTGAGTCATGCAGAGTTAAGTCACTCCATCACAGAGCCCTCACAGTCCGGGTTTTCATGGAAGATGCTTCTGCTCATGTCTATTTCAATGTCTAAAGCTGGACAGGGCCTTGGTGACCATTCAGCTGCGGTTTATTAAAATGAATAAAGAGTGGCTAATAACAGTTGGCATGCACTTTTAGTTAATTAATTAGTTAGTTAATTTTGTGGTATTGAGGATTGAGCCTAGGGTTGAAAGACAAGCACTCCACTACTGAATTACATCCCTAGTTCCATCCCCCACGGTCTCATTCTATAGCTCCAGATAAGCTGGAAATTGCTGTGCAGACCCTATGGCCTTGAACTCTCAGAGGTGTGTCTGCCTCTGACTCCAAATTAAAGGAAGACTCAAGGTGTCTGCCACCACATCCAGCTCCCAGCTGTCTTTTTACTTTTTAATAAGACAGAATCTCACTAAATTGCCTAGATGCGTTTTGAATTCATTCTGTGGCTGAGGCCAACCTCGAATTTGAAATCTTCCTGCTTCAGCCTTCAGAGTAGCTGGAATTAGAGGCCTGTGCCGGCAGGCCTGGCTGCCGTGGATATTTCAGCGAGAGACTTTTACAGGATGGGGTTATCCCTGAATGATAATAATGGTCACCACTTAAGAGGTTCTCAGATGAGTGAATGGTTGCATCAGGACCCCTTCTTTCTGAAATTGAGTTTCCCAGGCATCTCCTATACAGTCCTTCGTAAAGCTAGGAGCTTCTTTCGAAGATATTTTTTTCAGACAGTGAACGCTAATGGAAAAAATCCACACAGAAGGCAAAGGCTTGGGAATTGGAACGAGAGAGGCACATTAGGGGGATTTCGGAGGTGGGTGCCCTGACCATGCCAAACTGCTAAGAAGGCTGGGGAACTTTTTTCAATGAGAAGCCAAGTGGGCTGGCTGTGCTCCTTTGGGAAAACAGCCCTAACGTGGAAGGCAAGTGTTGACCCCGGTGAGACGCAAGAGGAGTGGAGGGATGTAATGACGGCCTCCTGATAGGACAAGCGCAATCTCAAGCCTAGAAGTGAGACACGGTACAGGGTCAGGGAGAGCTCCAAGCTGGAGGCTGTCGGAGGCTAAGAAACGCAAAGAAAACCAAGGTCTTCAGCCTCTGTTTTTTTTTTTTTCACATGGAAAACAGTACCCAGCCGCTGCAAGGCCCTGGGGCGGAACAGGGCACTGTAAGACTACAGAAATAGCTCAGATGGAGGCTCCTGCAGAGACTCAGAGATTTTTGGGAGGTGGGGGAAGGGGGCTGTACTGGATTTCATTTTGCATGTAGCTCAGGCTGAACTGTAACTCACTTCTCCCATCTCAGCCCCTCCCCCTCCCCAGTTGAGGAGTTAACAGATATTAGCCATCCTGCTAGGCTAGAGATTCAGATTTAACGTGGTGTGCTGGCTTGGAGAGATACAGGGCTGTGGAGAACCGATGAGCACACCTCCAGGGTGGGTTTGCTGTGCATTTGCAGACAGAAGACAGAAGGCCCTAGTGGAGAGCAGACAGGGGAACCTAGAAAAGCTCCAAAACGATGGAGCTGGGGAGTTTCGTTTGTTTTTTGGGGGCACATTTCCATACAATAAAATAGCAGCTCTTAAGCAGGGAGGTGGTGGTGCATGCCTTGAATTGTTCAGCACTCAGGAGACAGAAGCAAGTGGATCTCTGAGGCCAGCTTGGTCTAAAGTACAAGTTCCAGGACAGCCAGGGGTACACAGAGAACCCTGTCTCGAAAAACCACACACAAACACACACAACAACAACAACAACAACCCCCAAACTAGCAGATGTTAGCGTGGTATGAGTTTTGAGAATGTCTCCATTTGCACAATCCATTTCCCAGATTCAGTTTTTTTTGTTTTTGTTTTTGTTTTTAAATTTTGGATGCAGGATCTCTTTACTTAGCCCAGGCTGATCTCAAACTTAGGGATCCTTTAGTTTCTGCCAGGGTGTGGGAATTACAAATTCGGGTCACTCTACTTGTGTTCCACCCCCCTATTTATGTATCTATCTATTTATTTTAAGACAGGGTCTCTATAACTCTAAATGGCCAGGAACTCATTATGTGACTGGCCTTGAGCTCCTGGTGATTTTTCTGCTTCAGCCTTCCAGGTGCGGAGGTGACAGGCCTGAGCCCGCCGTGCCTGGCCAACTTCAGTTTTTAAATGCCGGAGATCCATATGCCTGTGAAGTTCTAAAGGAAGCTGCTTCAAAGGCAGAAGCTATCTTACCAGAAGCAATGAAGGCTAGAGCTAAAAGAGCTGGTGTGACATTTATCTGTCTGGAGCCAGGTAGTAGAAATCCTGCGAACAAATTAACAGGGGTGTAGGAGGAAGGTGGGAGGCAGGAAGCCCCAGCCTTTAACTTTTGGGGTGCTTGAGACTCATGCACTGAGGGTCTTTATTTGACATAAACATAGAACCGGCTTTTCTTAGACTTTCCAGGCTCGTGTCTCAATCTTACGGGAGGGTGGGAGTGGGATGGGGGGGGGGAAGAAAACGACTGCCAGCCCCTCTTATCCAATGGGCCTCCCTGGGGGCTAGCGGTGAGCGAAGTCGACCACACAGGGTTGTCTGCACCTCCTCCCGGGAATGAGCGCTGCTCAAGCTCCATTCCTGGGAGCAAGGAGCTCAGAGGGAGCTCGTGCTGGTGCTCTGACGCCTGTGATTTGTAGCAATTTTGCAGCATCGCTGTTGGGTGCAGCTGGTGCAAGTTTGCACACAGAAGGAGCGCAGTGGATGGAGTCGGGGGACAGTGGGCGTGGCTACGCCGAGCAGCGCCGTCTCCCGCCCACGCAATCCTCGGAGGGTTCTGAAAAGTATCTAAAAGTCCTGCGCGAAGCGCGCCAAAAGAAAAAAAAAAAAGGTACAACCCCCCACCCACTTCTCGAGCTCTTCATTTGGACTGCACGTCCATCTGCGGTGCACCCGCCTCCTGGACTCCTTCTAGGGAGCTAAGCGGCCTTGTTGGGTGAATCCGCGAGCAGGAGACGCAGCAGCTCCATGCCTAACGACGATTCATTCAGCAAGCCCTCTACACCGACGGCGGAGGTCCCGCACGCTCCGGGGGCCCCGCCGCAGGGCAAAGCCGGCGGCTACGGTAAAGCGGCCGGGGCGATGGCGGGAGCGGCCGGGGGCTCCGGCGCGGGGGGCAGCGGAGGCGCCTCGGGCTCCGGGCCGTCGGGCCTGGGCTCTGGAAGCAAGAAGTCCCCGAGGCTGCCCAAGTGCGCTCGCTGCAGGAACCACGGCTACGCGTCGCCGCTCAAGGGCCACAAGCGCTTCTGCATGTGGCGGGACTGCCAGTGCAAGAAGTGTAGCCTGATTGCCGAGCGACAACGCGTGATGGCGGCGCAGGTGAGTGCGGGCTCCCGGGGAACGAGGGGCGCAGCCGTCTGCGAGCGAAGTCGCGGGGGGGCCACCGACGGACGCGCGCTAGAGGCCGGCCGCGGCTTCCAGACGCCGGGGGGTGGGGGGCGGTGGAGAGTCGGGGACCCTACTGGCCCAGGAAAAACGGGGCTTCTCTCTACTTGAACCCCGCGGATTCCCGGGGCTCCCGGCGGGGATGCCGGATTTGGGCCGCACACGCGCACCCTCGCCCTCGGGAGCCGAGTGGAACTCCGCTCGGCGTTCCCTCCCTCCTGACCCCGTCTTCCAGCTGAATTTCGGGGTTCGCCACGCACTTGGGCCCCGGGGTCTCTAAGGGCGCTCAGTGAGCAGAGTGGCGAGGTTCCCAGACTCATTAGACCAGGGATGTTGGGGCGTCCGTGCGGACTTCCCGAGATCCAGACGTTGCTTGCAAACTGGTGGGGTTTGCTCCACTGGGGAGGGCTGCCGGCTTTGAACTCCAGTTCCAAGTTGTATGTTGAGGGGTTCGCCCCTCTGGGGGGACTCCCCATAGCCCCGAACCCCACGTTACACAGAGAGTAGCGGGATTCGCTCTCCAGGGGTCCCTGGCTTGGCATCCCGCTTAAGCGGCCCGGCAGGCGGAAGGGTGGCGCGGGAACCAGTTTTCACCCTGGTGGCGCGGGAATGTGCTGCTCCTGGGGCTTTCTGGAAAAGTCCTTGGGGGTGGGCGGGAGCGCAGCGTGTTCGCGCCGCGGTTGGCGCACTTTCCGGGTTCGCCCCGCGGACCCGGGCAAGCGCCTCAGCCATTTTGAGCGGTCTGAAAATGCGAGCATTTACAAACTTGTAGTCCCGACCCAAGTTATCCCAGTTCAGATTACTTTGAAAGTGTTTTAGTCATGCTTAAAAGTTAAAGAAAAAAATTTACAGGTGCAGCGGGAAGATGCCAGCTTGAAGCCCTGTAGATCATTCGTGTTTTTTTTTTTTTTTAAATAGCTTGAACAGCAGGCTAGTAATTTAGCATCTTGACGGAAATAAATGTCGGTATCCTAAAGGATTTTTAGAAAGCAATAATATACATTCTTTCCCCTTAAATGTTGTTTCATCTTCAAGCAGGTTATTTAAAATGAAAAGATACCAAGGAAATGTTTGCTAAAGACGAACTACTTTTGGTTAAGAACATCTTTTGAAAGTGATGTGGATGAGAAGGTTGAACAGAGCTACACAAACCTTAAAGATTATACACCCCGATGGGCGTCATATTTTTAGAATGTCTTAAATTATATATACTTTGGCTTCACATATTGTGAAGTTAAAGAAAAATAGTTTTTTTTTTGTTTCTTAAAAGACATTTTAGCTTAGTCTGTAATGAGTGAAAAGAATATGCTCCATATTACATTGAAAAGCATCACAATGAGATTATGAAACATAAGAACTACTAAATTATACTTGTAGGTAAAAATGATTGTGTGTTTGGTGTGAAGACTATAGTTGGAAGGAGTTTCCTCAAAGGAATAAAATATTTATTCTAGTGGAGATATTAATATTGAATCACCTTGATTAGGGGGCTAATTTTGAGATTGTTAAAAGCCGAGTTAAAAACAAACAAAAAACAATTCAAAATTTCATACAGAATGGGGTATTAGGACTTTCTGCACCAGTGGTATGGTACTATACAAGACATTCTTAAAAATCTAGATAACAGTTGGGTTTTGCTCACTTGTAAATAATTTGAAACAGATATTAAATGTTAAGTTGAAAACAGTTGCATCTTTAATCAGTTGAATAAGCATTTCCTAACAGAGAAGGTGTTTGAAAAGGTATGGTTCATGGCATAGCTAAGCTGTGCATTTGGGGTATGCTAGGGCATCATGGGGTTTGTGTAGGAGTGTCTTGATACACTTCAGAGGTCTGCAGGGGCAGCAGCTTCTTGTCCAAGTCATTGCTGCTCTGTTTCTAAGCCTCTTGGTCAATGTAAAAAACAAAACAAAACAAAACCTCACAACAAACCCCAAGACAAGCTACAAGTGCTTATTTAAGGTCTCACATTCAAAGTCAGAGCTTTCTGTGATTATGAGCAAAAGCTTCCTACATTGATCAGTTAAGTTTGGACAGTAGTTTTTAAAATGTGTTTATTATAGTTGTGGATTGTAAAATTTGGGAGCACAGTGTACAGGTGTGGAGGGCAGAGGACAATTTTGTGAGGTTGGGTCCTTCTTCCCACTTCTAATGTGGGTTGTGGGATTGAACTTGGAACCACAGATTTACTGTAAGAGCATTTACCCGCCTAGCCATGTCTCTTCTGGTCCAGTTAGGGGTTTTGTTTTTTCCAAACTAATGTCCACTGAGCCTGGGGCTTCACACCTGAAGTGAGTACCACTGAGCTACATTCCCAGCCTGTGGAATCCTGCTTTTGAGTTACCATTTTGATTTCACCTTTGCTCTTGACTTTAGGCCTCTGGGGTATCCATAGTTTACCTTCTCTTGTTATATCATCAATGGTCAGTTTCCAGAGAAAGTCTTTTGTTTTTGTTACATGTAGTAAACAAAACACTTGATTTTCTTTCAGCCTTTTTGCGACCCAAATTGTTATTTAAAAGACAAATTGAATAAGGACCACACAGGGTTTAGTAAAAGCCTGCTGCATTCTGTCTCCAGTTCTCGATCCCCTTCCTGCCTGAATCACCTCAGGCCTTTACCTACTCCAGGGACTTGACTTCAAGCTCCACATTCCAGCCCCCTTCTCTCTCCTTAGCTCCAGCCTGCCTTGGGAAACAGGGCTCTTCTGGGGTATCTGAGCAGTCCCTGACTTTCCTGCCCACTCTTCTTCCAGATTGTTCTGCCCTTCCCTTGGCATTTTCAAACCCTGCTCACCCCATTCCTCACAGCTCTGGTAGGATCCTCCTCCTCCTCCTTCTTCCTTTTTTTGTTTTGTTTTGTTTTTTGTTTGTTTGGTTTGGTTTGGTTTTTCAGACAGCGTTTCTCTGTGTAGCTTTGGCCCCTTTCCTGGAACTCACTCTGTAGACCAGGTTGGCCTCGAACTCACAGAGATCCGCCTGCCTCTGCCTCCCGAGTGCTGGGATTAAAGGTGTGTGCCACCACAGCCCGGCTGCTAGGATTCTTCTTGTCCTATGTGGATGCTTACATTTTAAAGATATTTTTCTTTTCAAGGTAGGATCTTGCTGTGTAGCCTAGGCTTGCCTCAAACTCTTGATCCTCCTGCTTCAACCTTCTGAATGCTGGGATTCCTGGCATATGGCACAACACTTAACAACATTTTAAAGATATTTTGATTGGAATTCTTTTCCCATAGGCTTGCTGTGTACGACGTCTCAGTACGTCTCATGGTGTCTAGCACATTTTGTCTTGATGTTGCCTGCTTGTTTGCGTCCCTCCATTTTCTCAGACGTGGTGAGGAACTTGGGTCTAAGCTGAGCTCACTGTCCGATTTTTCCCAGTACACTGACCTTTTACCTGTGTGTTGAGTGAAGGAGTGAAAGGTTTCATTCTCCTTTCTAACCCATCAGAGGTTTTTTGGGGTGTTGAGTCCACTCTACGGTGTTCCCAGTTTGGCATACTTTAGTTACCTAGTGTCTTAGGGTTTCTGTTGCTGCAGTGAAACACTATAACCAAAAAGCAAGTTGGGGAGGAAAGGGTTTGTTTGGCTTACATTTTCACATTGTAGTTCACCATTGCAGGCAGCCAGGACAGGAACTCAAGCAGGGCAGGAAGCTGGAGGCAGAAGCTGATTCAGAGGCCATGGAGGGATTCTGTTTACTGGCTTGCTTCCCCCGGCTTGCTCAGCCTGCTTTCTTAAGAACCCAGGACCCCCTGCCCAGGAGTGGCCCCATTCACAATGGACTGGGCCCTCCCACATCAATCACTGATTAAGGAAATACCCCCGCAGGCTTCCCTGTAGCCCAGCCTTACTGAGGCATTTTTCTCAGTTGGGGCTCCCTCCTTTCCAGTGACTCTAGCTTGTGTCCAGTTGACGTAAAACTAGCCAGCACACCTAGGGAGTCAGGTGACTGGAGAAGTCAGAAATGAGAGTCGCTTAGACCTTCCTCACAGATGTGGAGAACCACAGTAGTTTAGCAAAACTTTGCAGCTGAGTGTATGCTTTGCTGGACGGTGACTCGCTGCCCTGTGCTTCCAGGTGGCCCTGAGAAGACAGCAGGCCCAGGAAGAGGAACTGGGCATCAGCCACCCCATCCCGCTGCCCAGTGCAGCTGAGCTGCTGGTCAAGAGAGAGAATAATGCCAGCAACCCGTGCCTGATGGCTGAGTCCAGCAGCTCGGCCCAGCCTCCACCGGCCAGCAGCCCCACCTCTGCTGCCTCAGGTAATCTGGGGCCTTGGGTTCCCATGGGACTCATATAAAGAAGGAGGGTGGTAGCCATGTAAACAGTCTCAGGACCCTCCTGAGCTCCACCTGACATTTTCTGCCTCCCCCCCCCCCCCGCCCCGCCTTTGGCTGCTTCCCAGGATGCCGTGGCTTCTAGAAGCAAAGTATAAACAGCTTTGACTTGCTGTTCATCAGTGTCAAGAGTTGTAACCATAGAACACCGGGGAGAAATGAGGTGGTTCATGATCATCCCTGTCCATTATGGGGTCCTCCTGGGTGGGAACTTGGGGTCCTTGTTTCCTGGGGCTGGACTTCTCCTCTAACGAGGGACTACCTCCCTTAGGGGAAAGGGTCTGAGAAGGCAAATTCTAGGTTTCACATTTGAATAATGAGAGGGAACATGGGAGGCATGTAGGTCGGCTTGTGTTCTCCCTGTGTGCTGAGTGCTTCCAGGGGCTGTGCGTATGCAAATCCGTCTCCCTGCCTTCCCAGAGTCACTATGAGGTAGGGATAGTAATTCTTTGTAACATGCTTGACAGCTGAGGTAGGAGCGAATTGACTGCTAAATTGATTGGACTAGGAAGTCTAAATCAGTCCCTGTGCCTTCAGAATCCAGTGTTCTCCCTCAACCCCAAAGAACCAAGTAGGTGAGCACTCACTGTCTACCGTGGAAGCCTCCAGCCATGTGTGCTTTAAGAGTATTCTACTGATAGACAATGAGAAAATTGGGTTTCTCCAATGCTCTGGCCACAGTTCAAGTTCTCAGTAGCCACATATGGCCTAGGACTACCACAACGAATAATGTGTTTCTGTCCTTCAAATAGTTGGTAGTGGGGTTTGAGAGTTAAGAGCACTTGCTGCTCTTCCAAAGGACTCAGGTTCAGTTCCCAGCCAGCTCACCTCTACCTGTAACTCCAGCTCCAGAAGATCCAATACCCCTTTCTGGTGTCCATGGCCCCTACGCATGTGGCATTTACACACACACACACACACACACACACACACACACACACACACACATTAAATAGAAAACAGATCATAAAAAGTTGATGGTGTTGGTTTGGAATACAGGGGTACTTAAGAAACCTGCCAGTGTTCTTTTGAGTTCAGGACTTTTTGGCAATAAGAAGTGCTCCCATCTATGGGGCATAGATTTCAAAACCCAGGTGAAGGCTTGAAGCTGAAGACAGTACTGAATCACCACACACACAGGCACAGAGATACACACAGTATACAGACATACATACAGACAAGGTACATAAGCACATACAAATACACATACAGACATATGCATACAAGCACCTCTGTAGGCACACATGTATAGACATACATACATATGCACATGCACACATATACAGACACAAATACATATACCTATAAACAAAAACACATACACACTCATATACCATACATACAAAAAGAGGCTCACACACCCATACACACATTCGTACACACATACAGATGCACTGCACATATACTATTCACACATTCAAACACACTGTTAGATGCAGATACACCTACACACATACAGACACATAAACACAATCACACAGGTATGCACATACACGCATTTACACACGCTCATACGGAGACACACAGGCACATACTATGCTCACACATAAACATAGACTGTGCTTTCCTGTATCTATGTATTTGTGACAAAGTTTAGTTTGTAAATTAGGTATAGCAAGATATTAGTAACAGCTAATAACTGGGGTGATTGTAACAGCATATTTATAATAAAATCATTTAAAATTTAGGGTTTATTTATTTCTGCAACTTTCCATTTAATACTTCGGGGCCATTCTTGATCTCAGGTAAGTGAAACCCCAGCCAAAGAAACTCTGGGAAAGGGGGAGCTACTGTGCATAACTACAAGTCACAGCATATCTTGAGGGAAACCCAACCTTGCACCGTGTGCCACCGTAATCAGGCTTTCATGAGTCACCGTTTGCTGGGCTTAACCATCGCGATAGCATGACTCAGCCCCGTGCCGGTAGTTGCTCAGGTTCTCTGGGCTTCTTCTTTTCCTCTCTCAAAAAATGAGAGGGTTCCTGGTGTGTGGGGGGTGTCTTCCCATGAGCCCTGGCTGTAAAGGATAAGGTAAGCACGCCTCCAGGAAGCAGGTATGTGTCTCTGTCACTGCAGATGGTTGAATTAACAAAGGAGAAGGTACCAATGCCCCGAATGTATGGTGATGGGAGTACATCCCTAGGAATAAAGGGCATGGGAGGTACAGTAATGTGTTTATCCCCCAGCTACTGAAGCTACAGTTTAGGGTGTGTGCTGACTGGGAGCTGCAGGGTGAGGCTGTGCTTCTGTTGAGAGTTGTGGGATCACTGCATGTCAGTAGCCTAGGAAAAGACAGTCTGACATCTGATTTCTATAGGAAGAGTGTTGTTTTCTGACAGTTTTGGCACTGATACTTAAAATATACATATCAGCTGGGCGGTGGTGGTGCACGCCTTTAATCGCAGCACTCAGGAGGCAGAGCCAGGCGGATCTCTGTGAGTTCGAGGCCAGCCTGGTATACAGAGCGAGATCCAGGACAGGAACCAAGACTACATGGAGAAACCCTGTCTCGAAACACAAAAACAAACAAACAAAAAAACCCCAAACAAACAAACAAAATACGGCACAAACCAAAACAGCACTGTTTTTCGTTGGCTTTGATGCACACAGTACATCCTTAGAATAGTGTCTGAACTTGACTCTTCATAGGACCAGAGAAGGTCTGGCAGGGTTTGTTCACGTGGTGGTGGGAGTTACAGGAAGGAGCAGAAGAAAGGAGTCAGGGCCAAGGAGGACCCCAACCCGATTCCCGTTTTGTCTCAGGAGCTGACAAACCTCAGGGTCCTGTTGGCATCTTAGAGCATCAAGCAAAGGGAAGAGGAACGTTTGGGCCCGTGTGTGTTGTGCTCATTCACTGGGCACCAAGTCGGGGCCAGGCGTGGCCTGGAGGCCCACTTTGCCTTCCCAGGGAGGACAGACTCCCCACCAGCCAGTTCAGCTCTGCAGAGGGGAGCTTCAATGGTCTCCTTCACAAAACTGCCTGAGACTTCTGCGTCGCAATTGATGACTCCTAGACCAAGTCAGGATACGAGTATCAGGGAGATGGAGATGGGAGCAGAATTATTAAACTACTGCGTCAAGAGGGAGGAGAGAGAGTAAGCAGACAGACAGTCTCGAAGCTTTTAGGCAGCACGTGGAAAGCCACCCTCTTAGGTAGCTTGTTACCAGCAAACACGTAGCTTATATTGTAGAGATTCATTTGAAATGGCTTTTAACTCAGGCAGGCAAGTGGTAGATAGTGGTCTGGTGAGATGGCTTAATGGTTCAAATGGCTTTGCCACGCGAGCCTGACCCGAGTCCCTGAACCCACAGTGGAAGGAGAGAATTGATTCTTTAATATTGTCCTCTGATTCCACACGAGTTGTAGCATGCATGCACTTGCAGTCAAACACACACACACACACACACACACACACACACACACACACACACGCTAGTCTCTGGCTTACACAAACATATACACACACATACCAGCCTCTGGCTTATACACACAAATATACACACACCAGCCTCTGGCTTACACACATAAACACACACACACACACACACACACACACACACCCCCAGCCTCTGGCTTACATATACACACACACACACACACACACACACACACACACACACACACACTGAAAAAAATGTCTTCAGTGAAAGATCATTGTTCTTTGAGTCCAGCCTGAAGTTCCCATGCATCATTCCAGTAAAACTTGCTGCAAGTAAAAGATTGACCCTTATTATATACATGAGTATAATGCTTGCACATAGCCTTTTTACTTACTACAGCTTGGAATTCTTCAAGACTTATTTTATTTTTAATTATATATATGTATATATACATACACATACATATGTGTATATATATGTGTGTATATACACACACACATACACATATGTATATATATGGATGGGGGTGCATATGAGTACAGAAACCCAAGGAGGCCAGAAGCATCCATTCCCCCCCCACACACACACACTGGAAGTGGAGTCACAGGCAATTGTGAGCTTCCTGGTGTGGGGACTGAACTCTGGCCCTCCCTCTGCAAGAGCATAGGTGCTCTTAATCACTGAGCCATATCTCCAGCCCAGTTTGGAATTATTATTTTTTTAAGAAAATTTTTTATTCATTTTACATACCAACCACAGATCCCATTCTCATCCTCCTCCCAACCCCCCCCCCCCAGCTTTCCCTTCTCCAGACCACCCCCTCACCCCCCACCCCGTCCTCTCTTCTGAAAGGGTAAGGCCTCCCATGGGGAGTCAGCAGAGCCTGGTACATTCAGTTGAGGCAGGACTAAGCCCTTCCCCCTGCATCAAGGCTGAGCAAGGCATCCAACCATAGGTAATGGGCTCCAAAAAAACGAGCTCATGCACCAGGGATGGATCCTGGTCTCACTGCCAGGGGCCCCTCCTACAGACCACAGCTTGGAATTCTTAATGGCTTAGTGTTTCGTTATACAGATATGGGAGGGCAGAGTTGGAAGTGATTTTAGTAACCAACACAAGTGGTAGGCATGGTGCTGGCGCAGTAAAATCTGCCAGCCCGGCTCCCTAGGGGCCTGGAACTAAACTCTTGCATCTGCATGGCCTCTCCCTTGGTGAAATAAAGTGGGCTTTTTTTTTTTTTTTTTGTCCTTGAATCTCAGTTATCTTCTTTTGGCTCCTTAAAATGCCAAATGTGAGTAAGAGAGCTGGAGAATTATTGTCGAGGCTGTCAGCTGAGTTTTAAGGACACTTCAAAGGAACTGGTGTGCCAGGCTGAGCTTCTCTGAGGAGCTGAGGCCTATACACAGGACAGGATGTACCTCAGGAGATGATCTCCGCAGTTAGTCAAGGACTGGCTAAGACCAACCACAGGTTGGACAACATGGCCCTCAAGGAATGGCGCTAAGATTCTTGCTATTTCGGGCGGGGATTAGCATAAAAATAGC